GGTGCGGACCATCAAGAACGACCTTAATATCCTTATAGTCATATATAGGGAACGAGCTCTGGTCAGGGTTTACAAGGATCGGGTCCTTGAGGAACGTAGATATCGTTAGTTGAAACGTATCCGTCGTGTCCTCGGGCTCCCATTCCAGCACGAAGTCGGTACCGACGTCGTAGTAAGCGTCGACCGGTATGTCGTTCAAGAAGACGATGGCTTGCGCAACTCCGATGAGGAGGGCGGGGATTGTGAAGGACTTCATCGTGGATTTGATAAGTTATCGTTTCTGCCAATGCCTAGAAAATGAAAGTGGCCTGCTGATCGCAAGCAGAAGAGGGCGAGACACGATGTTTTAAATATCCCATTGGTAGCCGCCGCCTTTTCCATGGCTTGAAGCGATACAGTAATCTGCTACGTCGAGTGCAGGAACGCCGGCCGGGGTTCTACCCATATTCATACTCTAGGTTTATATGGAATCTTACTCCAAAGGCAGCCCAACCCGTCTCTCGGGTTACATTTTTGATCCGCGAACCTGACTTCTATTATTACATTGAGCCCTTCGGACCATCCGATTGACGCCTTGGCATCACCGTGCTCCCCGGACAGGGTCAATGAGGTATCACGCAATGCCTGATACTACGGTCTCTCAGATTACGGAATCACCACATAGGCCGCTACAGAATTTGCGCTTCCTGTGGCACGATCCTGCGGCAGACCTAAAGCTACTAATGTAGGTAGGTAAGTGACCGGAGCTACACGTACGATGTTGTTGCCCGGAGGCTTGTTATTTCGAAGTGTAGAATGGATCGTTCCGCGACGTTTGACTGGCATCTGGGTCGGGTGAGTGACTTGAAGGATTCGGGCCGAAACACTCGGTCCAGCGTCGCGAGCTACCAGATCGAGGCACAGTGGTCTGTCTCCGGCCACGAACGCTGCAAGGGGTAGGCAATTTGAAAGTTTACCGGTAGCTGTTATTATTTGGCATCGATGGCGAGCATTGAGCTGTAGGTCATCGCCGCTTACTACTCTCCTGGGTCGGCCACCCAAGGAAGACATGGGTAGGCAGGTAGGCAGGTGCCGGTGGAGAACGGAAAAGTGCCGGGCAATAGTGGAACAGTAATATCTCCATGGAAAGTCATTGGTGAGTCGGAGCCCGGAATGCAATCCTGCGAACCCCAAGATGCCATACCACGTGAGTTAACGGCAGCAACCCAAAATCGACCACGAATGTGACGGCGATAACAGACCAGGTAAGAAAAATTGCGAACGTGTCGAAAGGCTGTCCCATGAGCATCTTTGCGAAAGGAGGACAGACCATCATTGGGCTTGGGCTTGACATGACACTGAGCTTCAAGACTTGGCGATAGCCAGACAATCGGGCATCTTGTTGATCATGCGGCTTTACTCGCATCCTCGTCTAGTAGTGATATATGTGAGAAAGAGGAACTTAGTCACTATATTCTGGACTTCGATATTACGATAAAGGAACGATTGGCAAGGAATGTGTGGTCCATTGCTACCTAGGGTATGTGATGTCATCCACCTATGATACCCCTGGTTGTTGCGTCCTAATGTGGCGCTTCAAGTTGTCCTCCCTCGAAGTTCCCTTCGTCCTACATTTGGACTTGCAGCCTTCGTAAGGGCAATACAACACCTTGGGGCTTCTTATTACTTCTTGATGTTTTTCTTGGCGGTGGCGCTCAACGTCCTTCTTGAATTGAAAGCGCCTGTCGCATGTCTCAACCGTACATTTGAACTGTGGCTGATGCTTCTTCCGATGTTTGCTTCTAAGCGTGAGTGTCTCAGAATAGATGGTACGAAAGAGGAGGTTTGCGTACTTAAAGAGATATTTTTTGTCAAACGACTCTAGACATACATCACATCGGTATACGCGATTTGCCGGGAGAGTAGGAGAAGCTGGAAGATTTGATGACTGATTAGGCGGCCTTGGTACCCGGCGATGGTCACTTCTCTGCGCTTGCTGTTGTGATAATGAATGTGTATGGACGTCAACGTCCGCGTAAGATGCTGTCTCTGGCCAATCTTGCTCCGGCCAAGTTCTATCCTGCCCAGCGGGTAGAACAGTAGCTGCACTGGATGACTGTGGCCAGTCGTATTCAGGTAATGGGCCGTCTTGACCCGACTGAACCCAAGAAGGATGGATGCAGGGTGGTTGATATTCAGAAAGTAGAGGTTGGGGTGGGTCAGTAGGCAATGAGTCCCAACTAGGAATTGAAGCGCGCTTCCGAGGAAACGGGGAAGATGTGAGCCACCCGACGGGAGAAGGATAGATACAGGACGAAGCAAGAGATGGCCGATGAAACTATCAAGAGAAGAAAAAGAAAGACGGAACAGTTAGTTGGATCCCCCAAATCGGAGGTAAATTGAAATAGGAGCAAAAGAAAGGATGAGGTAGGGGCTCCAGAGCCAACCGTGGAGAGAAAGAGAAGAAGAAACTATTCTCAAGGGGAAGACTGTGAGTATATGTACTCGGCCGTGGTGTCTGGCACTTTCAACTGGGAATACATACCTGGGTACCTACCTGAGATTGGCATATATTGCACCTATGTAGCTCTAACACGTGCAGACAACCAAATGATGCCCTGCCGCAATCCTTTGGGGGGGCTTGGATGTCTACCATCGGTCAATGAGGACGGTAGGCTTCAAATCCTGATAGAGGCTTGACTCGTGTAACGCCACCATGCAAGCCCATATCATCTGCGGTAAGTGGCAGATCTACGGCGTATCAGAACAGATTGGTAGGCCTCCAATCCAGGGCCAGTGCGGATCAGCTTGCGCATACTATCCACGGTGCTTACGAAGCTGCAGGGGAGTTGGTGAAGAATATTATATAAAGAGGCATAGGAACTCTCATCAAACCGAAGTTCTAGCTAGTTTCACCAACCTGTTGAAAGTATATCATACACCCCATCTGAAATGTCTCCCCTCTTCTGTTGTGGCTCCATTCAGCCATTTAAACCGGGCTATCTCAGTCATGAAACCAAGTTCAGCACATTCATGGGCTGGGCTGGATTTCCCAAGGAATCATCACTTGCCGCTGCAAGCGACGAGGATAATCGGAATGGCAGGACTGCCCTCACCGTTCTTGAGCCGAAGTATGTTGTACAGCTTGTCCGCCAAGTTAACTACGGGCCACTTGAGTCTACCCGGTACTTTGCCCTTGTCGACGGTCAAGACGAGGCCTTCATCGAAGTCACCGAGAGAGACTTGATCGAAGCCAATTTCCAGAAGCTTAACTCGTAAGTTTGACAGGCTTTAGATCGATTCTAGCTGAGTAACAGTGCAAGATAGTAAGGTAATAACAAGTGCATATCAGGTATAAGAACTTTAAATACGAGACCCACGACAAGTTCTTCGAGCTCAACATCTATCAGAAAGACCCTATCAATAAGCATCACTGGCGTCGCAACATCGCCCGCCCCGCGGAGTCAATCGATCTATGAGGTTGGGCTTCTGGGTGGATAAAGCGGGTATCTTACAAGACAATCTTTATTAGTAGACTGATGACTTCATGATTGTTATCCGATCCTTCATTTTGGCACACGGAGTGTGTTAGCTAGTCTACCTACCTAGGTAGTCTTCAATGGTCACTCTTCACGATACATACATAGTAACACATGATCGATTTTGGAGCCGTGCGACGTAGTTCCCCTGCTGGATTTCCATCCCCAGCCCATGCATACTACCAATCTAATCCAGGCTCTCGCCACCAGTGGAACTTGTGATGCACTATATGCGGCACAGTCTTTTCCAGCTGGCTCATCCACCTGCCAGAGATATCCCCGTAGATGTGGAGATGGCGTAGTTCCTTCAGCGAAGCCATCATAGCGCAGAACTCCTTTTCCTTCTTGATATTGGCACGCTCCTTCCACCCGGTCTCGCTGACGGTTCTGGGCGCCCAGTCAACGACTAGGGTATTCAGGTGCGGTGCGCGCTCGACGACCGCCCCGAAGAACGAGAGCCAGCTGTTCCACTGCGGGTATTCCGCAGTCAGCAGAAGCCACAGCTTCTCCAGCCGCTCGAAGCGGAGGGTCCCGTGGACAGCAAAGCCGATACGCCTATCTGTCCAGCCGTGCGACAATACCCGGACCGCTGCTTGCTTGTGGACCGCTGGGGAAAGCTCCCGGTACAGCGTCTTGGAGGTAAGCATCAGGGATGGGAGGGGGCGTGCGTGGGGCGGACCGTCTAGGTACACATGTTGAGGACGCAGCGTGTCCTCGAAGTCGTTGTGGTTGAACACAAGGTAGAAATCATAGATGCGCTCTCGCACCTCGAGAGGTAAGGATAGCAGCGGTGATTCCATTAGTCTGGTTCCGGTTTGCAAGCCGTCTTGTTCAAAACTGGAGGTCGATAGGATGTTGTTTGTGACGATGTTTGCGCCGTGAAATTTAGAGGGGCGAAGTCGCCTAGGCAACTATCGGTCTTATATAAGCAGGGCCTTTCGGAGTTAAGATATGTGTGGAGATTCAAGCTGTATTGAGACCAGGGTCGTTGATTAGAAGTCTTATCGAAGAATAGGGGTCAGGATAGGGGTTTCTATGATCCTACAGCATCTAGATGTCTTTACGAAACTTGCTCTGCAAATCAATTGGAAATACTGTTAGGAAGTGAATGAGTCATGCGTCAATGAAGCCATCCGGCTGAAATTTTCGGATGCATTTTCATGTACAAGCATCATAAACATTATTAATTATTTCGTAACGGTTTCGAGTCCCTTCGCGAGACAATCACATTCGCATCCGAGTAAGTTCATACCTCTCGTGCCCCGTGGGTTCCTAGTGGCCGAGCCGCCGAGTGGCGCGGCTCGTGCCGCGAATAGCTTGTTCGATGCCAAGCCTTGTCTTTGACTAGGGACTGGCAGGTGAAATAGAGAAATCGATAAAAAGGAGTGGAAGCACGAAGAAGAGTGAGTAGGTGATGAAAAGGGTTTATATGTTGTGGGGGCGAAGGAATACCAAAGAAAAGGAGAAAAAAAGATGTTTGATTGCCGCGGGCCAGAATCGAACTGGCGCTTCCGGTCGAGTATGCCTGCCAAATTGCTTCACTACACCCCTCGCTGTGGCCAGCATCCACGGTTTCCGTGGTGCTTGACATCCGCGGTCAGGGGAGTCAATGCGCGGCCGCAGACTGTCTGTTCCAGTGTCATACCACTAGACCACCGCAGCTTTGAAATGTTGAAGATTGGTATTGCAACTTCAATATAAAACCCTTTCACTGGCTGACGAGAGTCCGGGAGGTAGTAGTTACCTTCGCTATTGTTGCTCTGCAGGGCATTGGCCACTGCCGTCGCCCTCCAGCTGGTGTAACTGAGGTACAATTAGCCCCTCTCCCTCTATAATATTTTAGTAGGTATGTCATAGTCCTCAGGGCTAAATTCCTACCTGCTAAGAACAATCCTCAAAAGTTAAAGACGAGCCATGCACCTCGAATGCTTATGGGCGCAAGTCAAGTATTGGAGCTGTTCTGTTCTGACCAGCTGCCTACCTAGATACATACAATCTTCATCTTAATTAACCTGTATCACCGGTCCAGAGTAGACCTTCCGCGCCCAAACGGCGTAGTATATAATGGACCAAATAATCGTGGCCCCTACCATGAGGGAGCTCATGTTCATTGTCTTCGCGGTCGGATCGATGTGAGTGGGCCAAAAGCTGAAGAACAACATGACAAGCAGAAACGCACATCCGAATGCGTTTATGATACTGCCGAAAGGTTCCGGAATCTTAAAGGGCCCCCATGCTAAGTTCTCGTGCGAGACATTGACGAGCTCCGTATTGTCTCGATTATACGGACGGATTTGTCCCGTCACGCGGCGCCAAAGAAGAAGAGTGTTTCCGATGAGGTATGCGCCGTACAGACCATTAATCGCTAGTGAAACAATATCGTTAAATGCTACCGATGATCCTATGTTGATCAGAGCGAGAAGGTAGGAGATAGTCGTCGTGAGAGCAATCGCAATTATAGGAATAGATGTTCTAGAGTCGACCTTAGGGGGGGACTATCAGCGAAAAAAATCCATTCAGGGGTAAACCAATACTAACCTTGCTGATGTAAGACCAGCCCGGCAGGCCTCTATCACGCGCGAACGACCAGGTCATTCGGGAGGCCGAAGCAACTAGAGAGACAGTCGCACATAGGTTGAGGATTACGAGAATCGAGGCCATGGTCTGGGCACCCTGTTCCGATCCAACACCATTCTCAAAAATCGCCATGAAGGGGAAGCCCGTGGGTGACGATAAGACGGAGTCAATGTCGCCGACGCAAAATAACACCGCAATTAATATGCCGAATCCAAGGGCGCCATTCAGAAGGATCGTGAAAATCATTGCCCGGGGAACGATAACAGCTGCATTTTGAATTTCCTCCGACATCTGTAGGATATTAGTAAGTTTGGCCTAGAGGATAAGTGACTTGACCTGGTTGCACGCTTACATGTACAGCGCCATCCGCACCTGTTTTGGTCTTGTTAGTAAAGCAGATACTGAGAACGCGGCAGGGAGGAGAATATACCGAGGAAGTTGAACACCGAAGATATCATCCCGAGCATGAAAGAAAGACCCTGTGTCTGCCATCCACCTTGGTTCAAGAACACGGTGAAGACGTCTCTAGCGCTTCCATGAGGGCTTAGGTAGACCAAAGGTACGAGGATAGCGAAGAATCCAAGAACATGAAGGATCAAGACGAGGCCTTCGACTTTCGGCAAGGCGTTGCTTATAATAGTGTTGAAGAATACGGCAAAGGCGATAGAGGCCCATAACAATAATGTCTTCTGCCAGGCCATCGGCTCGTAACTCGGATTGCCCATCACGGCTACCCCCTGGATGAGAGCGGCGGCGAGAAAACCCAATCCCGCGACGGCAGCTTGCCAACCGATAACCGTTAACCAACCGATAAGATAACTCAAGAACTTCCGTGACTTGGTTGGCGCAAGCATGTATACCCAGTGATAGTGTCCACCACTTGTAGGTGCCCTAAAGGGGTGTCAGTCGTAGTGCGTTTTTGTCAAGACGCATTGATACTAGGGACGTACATAGATGCTAGCTCCCCCATAGTCGCAAAGATGCACAAAGTACCAACCCATACGATGATGAAGCCATAGATAGACCCGGCAGAGCCGCCATTTTCGAAAGCTTGAAGGAAAAGACTGCGAATGCGGTTAGATGGTATTGTGGGAAAACACGCCCCGTTGAGAGACATACACTAGCTCTCCCTCCCAAGTATTCATAACGGTACAGCTAAATCCAAGCATTGACATAAGGGCAAAGTTCCGCTACATGCGACATTAACATATGATTGCGAACATGGCCATTGGATTTACTTACCTTAAGCACGGGAACCTTCCCCAGACGCGTAAGGGTCTGGTTGTCACGCTCAATGAGCAGCTTCGTCCGCCCGGCCGAGGTTCCATCTGAGAGCTGCTCGTCATTGAGCTCTGCTAGCGTAGCTTCATTATCGTCGCGCTTGAGCGCGTTCATCTCGAAGTCCTTCGACATCCTGGCCATAGTTCCTTGGCGGTACACCAGGTCGATAGCAAGTGAACTTATCGAAATGCGGCTCTAACTTGGTTTCACGCGACCTTCCGCAGGAGGAGAAGTACAGAAGGTATGTGCGGCGGAAGGCCAGTTATGAGGAGATACACAGAGTTGAAAGGAACGTGAGCCCTGCATGCAGCACTTCTAGACCAGTTTCAGCTCCGAGCTGAAACCAAAGGTATCGAACGTACCTGGCTTATTCGCGTGCCTACCTCAACGCCGCAGTAGATACAGGTTCAACTCGTAATCCTAACGGCTTGACAACAAGATCTGGATTAGCGCGGCTTCCATCCATGCATTCTAGAATGTTTTGCGGTTTCGAGGCGTGGATGGGACCACGCCATGAGCACACACAATCGGCAGGGAGAATGGACGGCCCGCGATTGGGGGGTTGCGATGGTCTTCTGTCAGAGGCGGAGGAGGGGAGAAAGCAGGGGTGTAAGATGACTGGATACGACGTCGCTGCATGATTTGCTGCAGTCGTTCGCGTACCAGTACTTTGACGATCGCTGGCGGAAATAAGACAATCATTGTAAAGTCCTGTTGGCGAATTCCCTCTTCCGGCACATGCATGGGATGCGAGGGATCTCTACGATGGTCCATTTGACCAAAACCCGCCTATGAGTGTTGGCTCAATAGACCCTGGCACGGACCGACTACTGCCACTTGATTGCGTCGTCGAGTAATTTTGGGATGGTTGTACAACATATGAGTAACGTGGGGGAAGACCGCCCTCGGTACACATGTCTTAATGTGAGGTCCGATGATCGCTCCTACGGCCATAAGTAGAAACCTATGAGCTATCCTCACCCGCTATGTCCTGTATAAGATGTAAGAGGTTTAGGAGATCGCTTATTACTACTATGATAGTCATGTTTCGAGGTATGGCATATTTGAAGACCATAGCGTAAACGCACAGCGCTTGGTAGCCACCAAGAGGTGTCTCGTATCAGCATTAGACCTGACGCTGGTGAAGGCGACAGGCCCTATGTATTGAGGATTCACGTAGATGCCCGCACCAATGGGATTTCTCCCTAGGTCGCGTGTTCGGGTACTCCGTAATACCCTTTTCGCAGATTCTTCTGCCTATTGGTATTATATTGTACAGCGGTGCTCTTTAGTATTTACAGTCCGGGCGTATTATAATATTTGAAATGCCCAGCAAGATAGTGAAAGCAAAACAAAGCGCTATTGTATTAGATGTCATAACCAAAAGCCCTGGTAGGAATTCGTTGCCGTTCATTAATCCTCACGGGCTGGACCCGGGGAGCTGGTAACCCTCCATGTTTTAACCTGTTTGATCAGTTTAACCTGGCTGGAGTGGCTGCCAGTTTCCCAGTCACCCCCATTCTCCGGTTTCTTGACGGTAATCGAAGCAGTGACAGTAGAGTGCGGATTCCCAAGATCTCGTAGCTCGTTGGGCGAAGCGCGGGTTCCGGAATGGCTTGCAAACGAAGAGTCGTTCTGACGCCCATATCCAGCGACCGACTTACCCGTAGCGTTCGCGCGGCGTCGAATGTCGTCGCTTCGGATCAAGCCGGACTCGAGACTGTCGAGAAACGGTTTCATATATGGAGCACAGGCTGTCATGATGCCCAGGCTTTGGACTAGCGACGTCGCGACAGCAAGTGGCCAGTACGTAAATGTCAAATCTTGATGATTTGGAATCTTTTGGGACTCGAAGACCTGCCAACCGATTGCGGCAATGGTGCTTCTGCGTGTCAGTGCAAGCGTTTTAGAACAATGCGCCAAGAGAGACTCACAGGATGCGGGTGGCAAAGCACGACATCACCACGAGTTTGCGTTTTAGTTTGGTCTTTAGTTCCCACACCACCGTAAATGGTAGCCAGATCAGGCAGATATCAAGTATGATGTTCACGGCATTGATGTAATTCCATATCGCCCTCTGGTCTATGCATTCATTCGTGATGGCGTCCCATACCCTCGGCGTGTCGCACTGGAATAGCAGTGTCAGGATTGACGAAAATGTCCAAGCAAGTGTGGTTCCAGTAAGCAGCCAGGTTAGGGTCCGATGGAAGTCAATAGGAGTGATGACTCTGAAGAAGAATATAACGGCGACTTTCGCAAAGGCCTGGCTGGCGATAAAGAGCACATTTGCAGCGTAATATGACTGCTTAAATGTCAGCACTCTGGATAGGCCGTAGAATGCACGCGCCGATCTACCTTTTGAAAAGCTATGACATTGTCACTCGAAAGAGTGTCAAGATGGCGTCCTAGTCCATTTGCAACTCCGATTGATATTGCGACGGTTTGCCCAATACTCAGGATCTAGTAGAATCAGAATCCCGAGCCAGCTTGAAGAATTTGCTTGCATGACTGACCAGCGACACCACGACGAACCCGTCATCTACGTGGAACGCCTTCGACACTCCATATTTCGTCCCGAGTCGCGTAAGGGTGAGCAGCGAACTGCAGATGAGCAGAAACCAGGACACTATATTGACTACAGCCCCGTGGTTGTCGGGACTGTCCTTAAGGGAGACGTGCGTATCGGTAGAGTTCATTGAGCCTTGGCCATGGCCCCAAATCGACCCGTCACTTAGTTGGATAACGAGAAGGCTACACCTTCAAGTCGGCGTTACTCCGCAATTGATGATCGGTCTAGATGCGTT